GGGTTTGTTGTGGACAGGTCTTGCCTTACCAACCTCATTTCCTTCTATGACCAGGTAACTTGCCATGTGGACATGAGAGAGCAGTTTGACGCTATACACCTTGACTTCCAAAAGGCCTTTGATCTAGTATTCCACAATGTCCTCGTGAGAAAATTGGAGGACTGTGGGCTTAACTCTGAGACAGTCAGGTGGGTGAGAAACTGGTTGTGGGATAGGACCCAGAGAGTCACAGTGAACAATTCTGTGTCATCTTGGTGAGAAGTGGGCAGTGGTGTCCCGCAGGGGTTGGTGCTCGGTCCAGTACTTTTCACCATATTAACGATTTGGATGTGTGGGTGAAGAGCTTACTGGCTAAGTTCACAGACAACACCAAGTTATGAGGGAGCGTGGTCATGTTTGAAGATAGGCTACAGATACAGGTGGACCTAGACAGGCTAACAAGTTGCGTAGATCAGAATCTGAAGAAGTTCAAAGTAGAGAAATATAAAGTGCTCCACCTCAGGATGAGCAACCCCCAACACACCTACAGGCTTGGTGGCACCAAACTGACTAGCACCACAAATGCAAGGGACCTGGGGGTAATAACTGACCACAGTATGAACATGAGCCGGCAGTGCAATGGTGTAGCCAGTAGGACAAATAATACACTCATGTGCATCAATCGATGCATCTCCAGCAAAGCCAAGGAGGTGATTCTTCTGCTCTATTCAGCACTAGTGAGACTGCAGCTGGAGTACTGCATCCAGTTTTGGGCACCACACTTTAACAAGGACATGGACAAGCTTGAGAGAGTCCAAAGAAGAGCCACCCATATGATCAGAGTCTTACACGGCAAGCCATACAAGGAAGGGCAGAGGGATCTGGGACTTCAGCCTGAGGAAAAAAACATTGAGGGGGGAGCTGGTAGCAGCTTACCGCAACACTAGGGGAGTACATCAAGGTCTCGGTGAGCAACCAGGGAACCCGAGGGGAAAACCAGGAGTAATGGCCACTCCTGGAAGATTGATTCAGGCTCCACATTAGGAAAAACTTCTTCACAGTCAGGGTGTCCAGACTGTGGAATAAGCTCCTCCAGAGGTCACCTACCCTGGAAATCTTCAAGAGGAGACTAGACAGTCACCTTGCTGGGGTCACCTGACCCCCCAGTTATCTTTCCTGCTTGGTGCAGGAGGCTGGACCCGATGATCTTCTGAGGTCCCTTCCAGCCTTACAATCTATGAATCAGATAAACCTAGATATTTGGCAATTCCCTCTTCCCCCTTCTGGTTTATTTATTTATCCATAACGAAAACCCCTCAATGGATATTTTAAATTTTTCCCTCATGGCCAACAGGCACTTTGCCTATCACTGATTACTTCAGAGCAAGAGTTTTCAACCTTTTTGGATCAATGTACCCCCAGCAGCCAGACATGGAGTGGGGCAGGGAGGAGGGGGCGGCGCAGCTGAATGCAGAATGGCAGCAGCCACTGCATGAGAGCTTCCCCCGATTCAAGTGTCTGTCCGGGAAGGTGGCGCCTGCATGGCATGGTACATGGCGGCAATCCAGTCCCGCCTGTCTGTGTGTACCCCCTAAGGCCTTCTTGAGTACCTATACTCCCAGGGTTGACAACCCTGCCTCAGAGGAACCATCTGTACACAGGTACAGAACAGTGGGCAGCACAAGCTGCCTCGCACTGCTGCTGAAAGGACACTGTTAGCTATTTAATCTGTCCCTTCCAGCTGAAAAAGTCACCCCTTTCTACAAGAAGCCACCCATCAGGCTCTAATACATCACTCAGGGGATGAATAACTGCTGTGTTATTGGTTGCAACCAATCTGTGGTTTCATTTCTTTATTGCCCTTCCTTCCCCTACTTCTGTCACCATCATCAGTCCCTTGTGGGAAAAGGAGCTGGCTATGAAACACACACACCCCCTATTGCAACTCTCCTGCCTGGAATTTACATTTATTCTACAATGGGAACTTACAAAATTGTCACGCATTTCAAAATAGTCAAAATTTTGTAATGCTGTTAAAGTGACTGGAAGAATATGAAAGTCTGACTGTGATCACAAACCACATTTGGCTTCCCTCAGCAAATTAAAAATAAAATAATTAAAAAACCCACACAAATATATCAGTCATATTTTTGTCATTTTGGTCAACATCATTTAAAACTAGAATTATACAGCAGCAAATTTTTGATCTCTGTAAAAGTGACGAACACTACATTGCGTGCAATGCAAATTGCCAATCACATATAGTAAGTTGCTATTTTGGAACATATTTATAGTAATAAAAAAAAAAACTTACTACAAGATTCAAAACAACACTCACACACAGCAAGTGTAGAGAGAGGTAGTTAGCCATGTTAGTCAATGGTCAAGCAGAAGGCAGGCCTAAGTAACCTCTTCTAGGAAAAGTGAAAAGCCCCATTTTGAGTAGCTCTGAGATGCCTGTAAGTCAAAGTTATAGACATTCCTTGCCTCTGAAAAATTAGGACTCGACTTTCAAGGAAATATATCCTCTTTTATGGTTACAAAGATAAGCTTATACTTGGTTTACATTTTAAAAAGTTATCTGGTGTTGTCTTCCTGGGTCTGCAGCCAGCCAGCTCTACTAACAAAGAGCAACAGAATAAAATTAATAACTCCCTGTTTTAATGACTGTTAATGAGAACTGTGATGCTGTCAAAAATAGTGCCTACTGTGCAGTCCCACTAATGAAACCTGTGAGCAGCAGTAGAAACAAGCACTGGAATTAGTCATGGAAAAGAAGACCCTAGAAAACTAAAGACTTAAGAGTAGAGAAGAGACTCTACCTTTTCCCTGAGCCCAGAAGGACTCTAGACAGGTGCAAAGTAAAAGTGACAGCACCCCCAACCTCACAGTCCTCCGGAGAAAAGGAAGAAAGGGAGAACACTCCTCCCTTCCAGCAATGCTGCTCCAAATACATCACATGCTTACTAGCCTTTTAGCAATACAAACAATGAAGTCTGCAGAAACCAGGAACAGCCGTCTGGTAGAAATACTAGCATATGACTAGAGCCTGGGAGGGGAGATGGACTTCTCACAGTGTTGCCTTGGCAAGCAGCCATGGGTTTCCATGCTATCATCTTTACATCCGGCTAGCAGTTTTAGTTCTTTGTCTGGAGATATGGTAAAGATCTCAAGCCCAGATTCTATTACATACTTATGAGCAGTTGTGTTACTAAAATAAGAATAAAATATTGTCTGAAGGATGGGAACGCACAATTTACCATATTTACTCAAATACAAGACAACCCTAATAATATGACAAACCTCCAATAATTAGACTTCATATGTGGAAAATTTATACATCAGATATAATTTGCCAGGTATAGAATCTAATTATTGAAGGTTTGCCTTGAATTGACAGCCTCCCATTGCTATAGCAGGGAAAATAAATTTGGGCAGTCAAGAAGCCCCTTTGCCCTCTGACCCCTCCCCCAACTTCCTCCTCCAGCCCCTTCCCCCTTCCTTACTGTCAGACCTGCTCTCTGTGAGCATATGGAAGTGAGGAACGAATTTTTTAAAAAGATCTTGAAATAAATATAGTTGTAGCAATTTGCGTATAGTATCTATACACTTAGTTCATCCCTAATTGATACATTTTACCTTTTTGAAACTGCTGCAAGTTTTAGCACAGGTGCTCCATAAAGACACTTTAAACAGCACATTAGCACCTAGTTAGAGGGTACAAACCTTTTTTGCAAAATGTGTGTGTGTATACACACACACACATATATACATAAACACACACCCATGCCTCTATAAACCTGTCTCATGACTGCTATAGCTCACTGCTATGGACAGTCCAAACCACACCTTTGCAGTTGCACCATCCTCATTCCCATTACAATGACCATATCAAGCACCCATGAACATATTAATCCAAAGCCAAAAGGCTCATGACTGGAACTGGGTGTTCTTGGCATGAGTCCTGGGATCCTCCAAACATTTATATGCAGATGAGGCATAGGACAGCCTGATCCAGCTTCACCTCATGGAGGGCAGGGCCACACTAATCATATGCAACAGGCTATGAGATGGGCTGACAGAAGGAGTCTGGGTAAGCTGTTTGGGTCCCCATTTGGTGATGTCTGCCAGATATTTAAGACTGTTAAGGAAACAGGACTCAGTGGAAATGAGAAAGAAAGGCACAGCTCAGATGTGGGAGTGAAGAGGAAGTAAAAATGTGGCTCACTAAGACTTGAAAAAGTCAGCACTGTGGGGGACTACACTCAATGGACTCTACCATATGTCTTCTTCAGATGGGCTGCACTAACCTATCCCTGTGGTAGGTTTCCATCAGCATCTCTGCCTTTTGACCAAGACTGAACGTAGTATTTTTGGCACCACAGGAAAGATATCAGGGCTAGGTCTTGCCCTTCTGGTGCCAGCCTGGTATTGCAGTACGTCCAGGTCTTGTGCCAGTTCACTATGGAGGGAACACCTGCCCATTTTTTTTTTAAGGGCCAAAAAAAAAAAAAAAAAAAATTCCTATTAGTATGTTTGCCCCACGTGGCTCATGTATTTTACAGTCATCAGTGCTGGCTGCATTTAATCAGCTTCATAGTTGGTTTCCATTACTATGCGCATGTTACTATTAGCAGCAGATAGGCAATGTATTTAATGTGGTTTCCTTGTAGGCAAATGTAAGACGAGGGGCTTCCCCTCACTATGTTGATGGGGGCGGGAAGGGAGGAGGAAACCTTGTCTTATATTTGAGTAAATACAGTATGAGTTCTGTAACAATTAACTATTTTTAAGAGAGTTAAAATGGGAAGGGAGCAGGGCTACTTATGGCTCCTCCTGCCTATCTTTAACAAACTCTAGGTCTTCCTATAGAATTCTTTAACCTACAACTTACAAAGTTTAAATCTATAAATTTTTAGGTCCTGATCTGCTGCCTTCTCAGAAGAAAATGTAGAAATGCTTCCATTTCCAAGCCAAACAGTTAAACACTCTGTTAAAAGAAGCAGCAGTAGATTGTTTACCTGTATAGGTGGTTCAATCATTATCCATGCAGGAAGCATCAAACTTGGGTTGAGAGGTTGAGTTCCTACACGAAAGTAAACACCACCACTGGTATCACAGGCCCAGACATGCTGATTTCCACAGGCCAAGCTGGTCAATTTTACAGCACCTAATAAAGAGAGACTTAATAAGTTGGTATTGTCCTCGTTATCCATGTAAATAATTTTCATATTAGAATCTGAAGCTTACTTTTAAGGAAGTAGTTCTAATAAACCAACATATCAAAAGTAATCAGTAGAGTTTATAAATTTTGACATGCAAATATTTTTCTCTTCTCTAACCATAAAGCAAATTGAGGGACAAATTAAAAATCTGTTTATATCATTTACATTATTCTATTTCTCCTCCCCATTTAAAATAACCCATTTAATTGTAGCATCTGATAGTATTAGTACTTTAATAAAGCACTGATGTTTTAGCAGAAATATTAGAGAACACTACTACTAAAAATGATTGTCTTTAGTGTGGAGGAAGAAACCATATGAAATACATATCATTAGTGCCTAGAGAGCCAAACTTCCACATAACCTAAAGTGAACTCTTCTGTTGTTGGTCACGCTTACAGAATTTTAATGATCTAGGTCTAAAAATACATGTCGGCAATGAACATGCCAAATGCTAACAACAAATGTAAAACGTCTGTAAGAGCGCATACGAATTAACATTTCAAGGTTAACATGCTGTCATTATCTAGGCATGACACAAAAATGGGAGGTGGGGAGAAGCATATACAGTATTGCACACTGAAATGAGCTAACTGCTAACTTCAACTCTTGCTCCTTCATATTCACTTAAAAATAATATTTTGGATATTTTGTAATATTTTGATATTTTGCTATGGTTAGAAAAAACAGGCAGTATTATGTTGTGAAAGGCATATTAGACAGAAACAGCAAAGTAACAATGCAATTAGGCAGCAGACTGAATGTTCTGGTCAGATGCCAAATTAAAGCATCTCATACTAAATCTTACTGGTTTACTAAATGTTCCGAGTGCTGTTTGGGATAACCTGTTATTGGATATAGTGTTCTCTTCTGGGAACTAAAACAGGGTAACCAACTCAGTAAAACATCTCTCATGATACTTTTCATTTTCATTAGAAGATGCAACTAATTTTGTAACTTAAACATTTATAGGATTTATTCGAGTAAAGGCTCCATAATCTAAAACCTGTACTAAAAAATAGTGACACAATGGACATACAGCTCTAACTCTTAGTTTGTTAGTTGTAATAGTGACTTGATTCATTCATATAAAATCAAAATTATTTAACCATTTTTGCTTTTCATCTTGAATGAAACTCTATTTATTTTACTACAAAGTATGTGAACAAACACACAACTTAAAATTCTGCTGCTTGGGGAGAAAGCATATGGAGTACAAACTTCAACAATTGCATCTAAAAGTCTTCTGACATTCAGCTACCAACTGACAATTTAAATAAAACTTTGAAGAACAAAGTATATCAGATAGTACCAGTCTTTCCACATGTTATCTCAGCTGTTGAACTGTTTTGATCCAAATAAGCATCAGAGCACTCAGATGGAGTCGCATATCACCTACTCGGCATTGCTGGCATTATTTACGTCTACAGTACAATTTGATATTCCAAAACGTAGTTCTTACGTAAACACTTTCAGCTTTTATTTCTATTGCCTTTACCTTTGGGAAAGGTCATGCTAACTATATTCACCCATAAAAAGAGGAGAGAGAAGTTTCTAAGTGTGACTGTTTATTGTTGAATTGCAAAGGTCAATCTGTGTTTAGAAACCTTGACACTGATAGTGTAACCTTAATCAAAGTAATTTACCAGATACTAACTCTCCAGCACATAGTGTGAGGGCTAGAGAACAGTTACACTGGGAAGGTATTAAATATTCCTGTTTATTCTAGAGACATACTCAAGAAGTACTACATTCTACATTTTCTTTTTACACCAGATTTATCAAATTTGAGTTTACTATTTTCCAATCTCTCCTTGAGCAAATAAGGCCCATAGATTTGAAGAGAATGGTTTAGTTATCCCATTTCTTTGGCCACAATACAAACAAACTAATGCCCAATGCTGTAATTCCCCACATGCAGATGCATCACTGGGACTACACAAAGCCCCATTGACTTCAATGTTGCACTCAACCAAAGGAGCAGGGCCAAAAATGGTACCAAAATGATGTAAGATTTTTTTATTCCATTAAGCTGCTGTCTACATTTGACTACTGAACTGTAACTGAATTATTTCTTAGCCTGTACATCCCTAAGCTATATTTACATGTTGTATGTAAAAATTAATGCTCTATTTTAAAAGTGATTCAGATAAGGTGTCCTAGGTATAGTACTTTACAACTAATGTGAACTACATTACCTTACATTTGTTATTTCCTGGAAGGGTTCAGATTAACCAAGTTCTCTGTACAGCTATCTAACATGTATTAAGCTCTGAATTCAAATACTCGAGATCTATCACACGAGCTTCTCTAGTCTCATTAGGAGTTTATACTCCAGAAATGTTTATAATGATCCCCAGACAATGAACTGATCTAAACTGTACAGTCTATCAGGTAAACCTTTATTTCCCTGCCTGGCCCCAGAGCCAGGTTGCTCTCAGACTCCATTAAAGAGATGCAACTGCTCAACGGAGACCTGACACTTGTTACTAACCTCCCTGGTCTCTGGATCTATAAGGTTTGGTCCCAGTGGGCCACAGAAGACCTAGATACTAGCGCTGTGCAAAGCTTTGGTAGCCGATTCAGCGCAAAGGAGATTTGACCTGATTTGGAGACCAAATCTCCAAATCC